ATAACACCTTTCTGCGTAGGCGGCCTTCGGCCGCACTTAAGGATTATAGCTCTCACTACGTAGAATTCTCCTTTCTGTGTTGCCAAAGAAGAGGGGCTGAACACCTTTTGCAGAAAACACCTTCGGCCGCACTTAGGGATTATAACCCTCACTACGTAGAATTCTCCTTTCTGTGTTGCCGAAAAAAGGGGGCGGACTACCTTTTACAGAGAACACCTTTCTGCGTATATTGTTTATATTTTTTAGTTATACATGTTTTAGAGGATACCTCCCTTAACATCCTGACCAAGTTTCAATTGTTAATTCCATCTGGTTTTCTTAAAACACAAGGTGCGGCTGACTACTAAGGCCCACCCGGTTCCATATTAAATTTAAATTCAAAAATAAGGGGAATCTTTAGTTATTTGCCGATCGCTTTTGGGGTGGGAGGCTGAGGGGGAGGGGCATGGCCCCCTAAACCCCCCTATTCGAAAGGGGACAGCCCCCACTTTACGAAAAGTCGCTCCCCCCTACGGGGCCTCCCACAGACCCCTACGGAACCGTTTGAAAAAGGGGGGAAAACGGAATTTTCTTAGGCAAACTGAGCAATTTGAAGTTGAATATGACCCAACTAACGGAAACCGTGGGATTTTTTAATAAAAGAAATTATGGCAAATTAAATTCGGGCGATTTTGACTTCTTCGCAAAACAGACAGGAGAATTCTACTGTCTGAGGGTTATAATCCCTAAGTGCGGCCGAAGGCCGCCTACGCAGAAAGGTGTTCTCTGCAAAAGGTGTTCCGCTCCTCTTCTTCGCAAAACAGACAGGAGAATTCTACTGTCTGAGGGTTATAATCCCTAAGTGCGGCCGAAGGCCGCCTACGCAGAAAGGTGTTCTCTGCAAAAGGTGTTCAGCCCCCCTTCTTTGGCAACACAGAAAGGAGAATTCTACTGCCTGAGGGTTATAATCCCAAAGTGCAACCGAAGGCCGCCTACGCAGAAAGGTGTTCTTTGCAAAAGGTATTCAGCCCCCCCTTCTTTGGCAACACAGAAAGGAGAATTCTACTGCCTGAGGGTTATAATCCCTAAGTGCGGCCGAAGGCCGCCTCGGCCGAAGGACGCCTACGCAGAAAGGTGTTCAGCCCCCCTTCTTTGGCAACACAGAAAGGAGAATTCTACTGCCTGAGGGTTATAATCCCTAAGTGCGGCCGAAGGCCGCCTACGCAGAAAGGTGTTCTCTGCAAAAGGTGTTCTGCCCCCCTTCTTTGGCAACACAGAAAGGAGAATTCTACTGCCTGAGGGTTATAATCCCTAATTTCGGCCGAAGGACGCCTACGCAGAAAGGTGTTCAGCCCCCCTTCTTTGGCAACACAGAAAGGAGAATTCTAGTACCTGAGGGTTATAATCCCTAAGTGCCGAAGCCCGCCTACGCAGAAAGGTGTTCTCTGCAAAAGATGTGCAGCCCGCCTTCTTTGTAAACACAGAAAGAGAATTTTACTTTGTGAGGGTTATAATCCTTAAGTGCGGCCGAAGGCCGCCTACGCAGAAAGGAATTCTACGCAAAAATACATTTGTTAAAAAAAACATTTTTTTATAAAATCTTGCATTTTCCATTTTTAATTAACTTTTTTATTCAAAATCGCCCGATATTTAATTTGGCATAATTTCTTTTATTAAAAAATCCCACGGTTTCCGTTAGTTGGGTCATATTCAACTTCAAACTGCTCAGTTTGCCTAAGAAAATTCCGTTTTNGAAAGGAATTCTACGCAAAAATACATTTGTTAAAAAAAACATTTTTTTATAAAATCTTGCATTTTCCATTTTTAATTAACTTTTTTATTCAAAATCGCCCGATATTTAATTTGGCATAATTTCTTTTATTAAAAAATCCCACGGTTTCCGTTAGTTGGGTCATATTCAACTTCAAATTGCTCAGTTTGCCTAAGAAAATTCCGTTTTCCCCCCTTTTTCAAACGGTTCCGTAGGGGTCTGTGGAAGGCCCCGTAGGGGGGTGCGACTTTTCGTAAAGTGGGGGCTGTCCCCTTTCGAATAGGGGGGTTTAGGGGGCCATGCCTCTCCCCCTCCGCCTCCCACCCCAAAAGCGATCGGCAAATAACTAAAGATTCCCCTTATTTTTGTATTTAAATTTTATATGGAACCGGGTGGGCCTTAGTAGTCAGGCGCACCTTGTGTTTTAAGAAAACCAGATGGAATTAACAATTGAAACTTGGTCAGGATGTTAAGGGAGGTATCTTCTAAAACATGTATAACTAAAAACTATAAACAATATACGCAGAAAGGTGTTCCCTGTAAAAGGTATTCCGCCCCCTTTTTTCGGCAACACAGAAAGGAGAATTCTACGTAGTGAGGGTTATAATCCCTAAGTGCGGCCGAAGGTGTTTTCTGCAAAAGGTGTTCAGCCCCTATTCTTTGGCAACACAGAAAGGAGAATTCTACGTAGTGAGAGCTATAATCCTTAAGTGCGGCCGAAGGCCGCCTACGCAGAAAGGTGTTATCTGCAAAATGTTTTCAGCCCTCCCCCTTCTTCGGCAACACAGAAAGGAGAATCCCACTAAGTGAAAATTCCGAATTAAAAATCCGCTTTTATTATTCAAAATTGCAGTCTGGCAGCACCAAGTTTTATGTTATTTTGCTATCTTATTCATCGTTTATATGAAAACTTTAACAATAAATTATATATGAACTATAGGGTTGCTAGAAAAAGGGGGTATTTTTGAAATCAGGGGGTCCTATTCTACCCCGCCTCATCCGTCTACTAAAATTTTCCCATGGAACCTGACAGAAAAAAATAATTTTTCATTTAAATTGCTTTCGTAAAATTGGTTGAAATTTAAGGTATTTCATCTGAAATAAGACTATGTATGAATGTACTTTGGATTTCTGTTAACAATGATACGCACCCATTTTGAAATTGCCATCAACTATAAGATAAAGTTTCTAGTGCAGATTCACTTTATATCCGGATCATTGTTGCCGCCAGGGAACCTCTTCATGTCTTCATGGACATAACACTTTCGTTAGGTTATTTAAAGCAGCAAACGACCACCAAACCATAAACTTAACCGATGAATGTGCCAATCGGGGTGTTCACAGTTCGTTCCAAATTGTGTCTCAAAACGAAGACGTATATATGTATATATCTACTTAGATAATAACATATGCACATATGAACATGTATTTAGAAAAGGAGCGTTTTGTCTGCACATAGAATGCAAGAAAACAGAATATACTTAAGAGCGGTACAGACGTGGCAATATATTTCGATGCAATAAATTTCGGAAAGGCTGTCAAATGGAGAAATCAGTTGCATGAGCAGTCACACCTTGCATGGAAAGTGTCTTTCGAAAGAGGTTTTTATTTCCGAAAGGCGAATTGCAGGAAAAATTTCTGAAACCTCTTTTTGGCTGTTCACACAGCGAATGAGTTTCTGGCAATCTTTCTCGATACCAAAATGCAACCATGGGCGGTGGGGTTGTCGTTTGTTTGCTAGTTTTCTATGGGGAACACAGTGTGGTCACTATGAATAAATATTTTTTTTTTTTGGAAATGCAACCGTGAGATCGACATTTTTTATCTGATCCCGATCATGACCCCATGGTCAAATTATAAATAGCTGGATACTCCTATAATTGAAGCCAGCACTAACAATGGGCCGTATGAATAAAAACTAAGCAATTGCTTTTTCTTAAAATTNGTTTTCTATGGGGAACACAGTGTGGTCACTATGAATAAATATTTTTTTTTTTTGGAAATGCAACCGTGAGATCGACATTTTTTATCTGATCCCGATCATGACCCCATGGTCAAATTATAAATAGCTGGATACTCCTATAATTGAAGCCAGCACTAACAATGGGCCGTATGAATAAAAACTAAGCAATTGCTTTTTCTTAAAATTGCATACCGTTTACTGCAATTTTGTTTGCATAAATCGAGTAAAATGTCTGATATTTAAGAAAAAGCAATTGCTTATTTTTTATTCATATGGCCCAATGCTCGCAATCCCGTACTCAATCAAAAAAACATAAACCTAAAATAAGCAAACATCAAAACCACAAAACATAGGTTATAATTAACATATTTTCCGTGCGAACAATAATTTAACGATTAAGTATATTAAGCAAAATAATATATTTCAAGCATTTTTGATATTTAATTCAACAATATTTTTTATCATTTTACACAAATTCACGATCAGTGCCACACGGCAACACTCGATTAGTTTGACAGCACTTGCAGAAGAAATAAAAATGGCTAGTGCAGCACGAGCAAGTTGAAATATATTTCCGAAATCGATTTTCGCTCTTGCAGTTGCAGTCACACCTTGCAACTTTTATTTCTGAAACTGATTTCCGAAAAGTGACAGAAAGATCTTTCTGGCTGTTCACACATCGAAATAAAATTTCTCTTTCTCAATTTGACAGCGAATTGCGTGCGAAAGACGCAAATATTGCCACGTCTGCCAGGCTCTTTACATAACTACACAAAAAATATAATACAATCCACTTTAAAATAGAAGATAAGTAAAACAATGCATTTTTGCTGCGATCACAGTATACCAGTAGAAAAGGTTTTTGTTTTTGTAGCTGTTTCGTGGTGAAAGTCCTTTATGGGGACCAAATTTCCCCACAAGAAATTGAGCGCATGGTTGCTTTTGCATGTCAAAAGAACGAATATTAGAAAACATTGAAAAAAAGTCTGAGATAATACAATTATATTCTAATAAAAATAAACACAATAGTGTGCGCTAATTCGATAATGTGATAATCATGTTTAAAAACTCTTTTCAACTCTTATTTTTCAGAAAATAATATTGCGGATCAGATTGCTCTGAGCGCTTGTGTTGGTTACCAAGAAAATGCAGCCCTGTTGGTTTTTATTTCTGTATCGCATCGCGGTGACTTTCTGTTTCTTGGTAATTTGGTTTGAGAAATGGTAAACAAATTATTTACACCCCTATTTTGCAACTCTTTCGTATTCGGATTTTGCTACGAATCGTAGAAACAGTATGCTGCAATCCGAATCGTATTTTCGAACTTTCGAAATTCGTAACAATGACATGCCTAAAAACGAACGAATAAGCTTTTTTGCGTAATTTTGTACGAAAACAATTCTGTGTCGGAGGCGAAATAAAAAATGTAAATCGATGTGTGTTTGCACGAAATATTGGTGGTGTTCATTTAAACAGATAAATTTGCCTTTCGCATATGCGTATATTTTTATCCACTGCTTTATATAAACGAGCAAAAAAGAATATTTGTTGCCCTTTATCGAGAAACTTGGGTCTGGTTTAGCTAATGTAGGTACAACGATTTTCGGTTATTGTGTCCAAACGCATAACCCGAATCCAAAAACTTTAACATACACGTATAATCAAAGGATTCACATTTTATTTAAGATAAATGTTTCAAATTTCCTACCACTAGCTTATTAATAAACTCGGTTTGCACTATGCACTTTTTTGCAAATTTCGACGTGGGTTCTGCGCAAAAATACTGTGGACGGCGTAGCCGGAGTGATATGCACAAGAAATGTTGTATACCTTTGACATGCGGAAGCCCCTCTTCCCCGCAACACAGAAAGGAGAATTCTACTTAGTAAGGGTTATAATCCCTAAGCGCGGCCGAAGGCAGAAGCAAGCGCAACAGGTGGTGGACCTAACAAAGTGCATGTTTTCAATGGCTTGGAAGAAGCTGTTATTGCATTAACTGGATTGAGAACCAGAGCTTCAGGCAGAGGAGTTCTGGCTTGTGGTTCAACAATTCAACCAGAAGCTGACATAGATGCGCCGATGGTTACTATGCCCGACAACTCAGCATACCTTTGTGAATCCATTGCCATAGCTCCCGCTTACTCTGCTGCTATAATTGCAAATACATCAGAATCCATAATTTTCCTCAAAATATGTAAAATTAACCAATTTTACAATAAACAAGCACATGATGAGTGTTTTTTTGATTCCTTTCCACTTTGTTTTCCTTCATTCAGCTATCTTCGAAAAACAACTGATAGCTGGCAATGCTGCACATGTTTCCGCAAGGGTTGCTGCATGTGGATTTTTCGGTTTTCGTAGCGTAGCTACGAATTACGAATTACCAAAATTCGGGTTCTAGAATAAGGGGGTTAAATTTATTGGTTTGATGGTTTAACATTTGATGAATGCAATTTTATTTCTTTTCAGACTATTAATTACAAGCACAGCATCATCAACAGTGATTTCAAGGAGAACTACTGCAATCCCTGCGATTTTTCCTCTTGGTAAATGCGTTCTGGTCGTGACCGAGGGTGGTCTCCCATATCAGCCGGGAATAAGGTTAGTCATTTTCAATTTTATATCTTTGTTCGTCGACATTATAGGAGCTGTCATCATTGCAGGCTATTGTTGCAGAACAAAACGCTGCAACCGCTGCTGTGGTAAATATGTACCAGCCGTACTGCCGACCGCCGTCGGTGCAATGATTTCGATAGCTGAACAAACGCCATCTCCTGGGCATTCCCACAGCTTGCCGACACCAGCTATTATATCACGTGTGAATGCAACTGCGGCTAAATTTGGTTATTAACAGTGCAATAGTGCCACGCCATTGGAAAAAACAATAAGGGCTGCTGGCACATAGAGGTTATAAAGTTTTTAGAATCGATGAGCTTACTCGAAGAAGACGATGGCCGAAAACATATAATGAAACATCTTCTGGCATGCTTTTGACAATCGTTAAGTTAGACGGAAGCTTCACATACGATATTTCACACATGTCTGGAATTTGTTAGCGGACAGAGCACACATTTACAAAATATTTATCGTTCTGCGGAACATGCATGCATATTCAATTCCGAGTTTATGGGTCGATGATGGAGGACAACCGAACTTTAGTTGGTTGGCCAGTGGCTGAAATGGTATTACCGATGGCAACTAGCAACTGAAAGCTGGCAACTGAGTTGCTATATTGGCAACTGCATTTTTGTGGCTGCCGGGAAATTTTGATTGAGATACTTTATTCCTTTTTTAAATTTTTTTTTAATTTGTATCACCTTGAACGTAATGAAACTTAATTCATAATAAAAAACATTTTCATTTCAGTGGCGCTGTCCATCGAAAACCCAACTGAGGTTCCGGATGGCAAAATCGATCCATAAGACATAATCGCACGAACTAATCAAGGCTATCACAGAATCCATCGTAGTTCGATTTTTCGTGAAATCTACGAAAATCCTATTCGAGAAACTATTGAATTGATCGCGTTTTCGTAGATTGTATGAAAAATCGGACTACGATGGATTCAGTGATAGCCACCAATATGTATTGTCCTTTGACAAGATGCCGTATACCTACTCTATGCTTTTACGCGCATATGCTAAATTTATCGCACCTAGCTAAAGTGCCTTCTTTAATATTATAACTTAAAGTAAAAAAGTTTAAGGCATGCAATAAAAGAATACAACAGAACCAAAAATATTCTCAAAACTATTATACATAAAAAATTGAACGAATAAAATTCATAATTTAAAATAAAATAAAATATCGCGAATGCTTTTATATGTACATATTTACAAAATAAATCTTAAAGCACCCACAGTAAGCTTAAACCTATAAATGGCTAATAAGAAAAATAATAAATAACAGAAATGTGAACAAGTAAGTCCAGAAATCTCTAAATAGTAGCGAAATTGTATCTCAATAATAACAAGTAATTTTAACCAAAAACAAGTAAGAAAGTCTAAGTTCGGGCGGAGCCGAACATTAAATACCCGGCGCAAGTACCGCTACATGGTAAACCGGGGTATATCAATTTTGAGTAAATTAGCGTCCTTAACTTTCGAAATATGTAGTTTGAAGCATTTCTGAAATTTACCGTTATATGAAAAGCGGCCGTAATTTTAGTCCGATTTCTATAATTTTCAACGTTATGCTTTTATGTGGCAAGCATAATAACGAGGATTTCGTATTTCTCTCAATTACCGTTATATGGGATGTGGGCGTGGTTATTGTCCGATTTTAAAAATTTTCGGCCATTTGGTATGCTGTAGCAAGGCTAACAACTGTGCCAAGTTAGGAAGTGCAGCGGTTACCAAGATATACACATGTAACCAAATGTGGGCGGAGCTACGCCCAAAAATTTATAATATTCTTATTTTTCGTCTAAAAATTATTGTAGATATCAATTTTGAGTGAATTATCTTCAGTTTTTACTTAAATATCGCAGTTTTCGTATTTCTGCAAATTACCGTTATATGGGAGGTAGGTGTGGTTATTGTCCGATTTTTCCCATTTTCAATACCATCTGTCCTACGCCCGAAAGAAGTGCACGTATCAAGTTTCGTTAAGATATTTCACACGACGGACAGACAGTCACCGCTTAATCGATTTCTCTTTTCATTCTGATCATTTATGTACATATACATTTGTCTATATCTATCGGTTCGTTTTGCCTGTTACAAACAACCGTTATGTGAACAAAATTATAATATCCTTGTGCACAAGTGAGCTCGGGTATAAAAATACAACCGACTTCAATGCGCATTCAGGTTGTTCTGCTTACGTATACCCGACTGTCCTCCCTTTTTTTAAAATCGTAAACAAAATGAATACGTATTCTACAGAAAAAAAATCAAGATACATTTTTAAAGATTTTAAGTAAAAATAAATAAAGGAAAACTTGTTCGTGATATCTCGACCAAGGTGTATTCATGATACAAAAATTTGAAGCAAAAACCGCTGAAAGGCGGCCTGAATATTTTCGAAGTTCGCTAACATAACAAAAATGTTTTAAAATTTTCAATCTCACAAACACATTCTCATTTTCATTCTCAAATAAAATAAAATTTCAATATCTTCATCTATTTTTATTTTGTTTTACTTTTATTTGGCATTTGAGTTCCTCTCAAAATTTCAATCTTATAAAGTAGACAAACTTCAAAAAATAAATGATGGCCGACGAATTGAGCAAGCGGTTTTACATTTAAATATTTGTATCATTGGTGTATAAAACAAGGTGTTATTGACAACTCAGTGCGGCTCTCTTTTCAGGTACTATTATTAAAAAAAATATAAACAAACGATTCAAAATTCATAAATTTGTTTTTCAATTTGACTTTATAGGATGGTTCTTCTGAGAGCAATGTCAAATTCAATCACACTTCGTTAAATACATTTTGATCTCTACCAAATAATATACATCCTCTGTAAATATTTTATGAAGTATTCCAAAATTCGAGAAGCTCGGCCAAACACTAACATATGTGTAAGCGCCAATCTATTATTATTATTATTCCAAAGTTCGCCCCGAGCGCGTTCACTATTGATCATTTGATTTAAATAGTTTGTCAAACAATGAATGCTATAGTTTGATCGGAGTTAATATATTCTTCAGTAATTAATCATATTATATTAAAACATAAGCTTATGAGAAATTGTTTAGTCTAAATATGCATAGTTCGCTCCGTGCTCCAAAATACGCTCCTACTGCGTTCACTATTGATCATTTGATTTAAATAATTGTTTCTCAAGCATTCAGTACTATAATTTGATCGTAGTTTATATATTTTCAGTAATTGATCCCATTTTATTAAAATACAAACCTATAATAGGGTAGAAATTGTGAAATTATCTAGTTTTGACGGGTATAGTCTGCTAGAGATTGAAGAAAACTGCAACTACTCATGAAAACATTCATTAAAAGCAATGTAGATGAAGGTAATAAATATTATTATTAAAATTTGATCCATTTAAATAACATTTTACACCAGTTATTTGAAGTAAATCGGAATATATTTTTGCATATAGCGTAGTTTTCATATAACTTATAAAGTACATATTTCATCACAAATATTTTTAAGATCACTTCGAATTGTAAAAATAGCGCTAATTAGTTGTATTGAAGTATAAAATATTTTACTACGTTCATGTTTACTTATAAACCGCATAACAATATTTCTCTCGGGATTTAACCGATGTTAAAATTTTTCACCGCGTTATTTTGCTGCACAGTACCCTGAATGCGGCAAAACAGTTGCCCGCAACCCTTAAGTCCTTTATGGGGACCAAATTAACAGCCACAACAACAAAAACCTTTTCTACTGGTATACTGTGCTGCGATCATTTTGCATAGGTACGAAGATCGTTGCCCATCCTAAAATGCTTAATTACATACATACATACATTCATAAGCATAATGCAGCCAAACAGTCGTCTGAGCCATTGTGTTTGTGTTGTACAGTAAAGATAATGCAATATGCACGCGCATACAAATATACATACATACATACCCATGCATGCATTAGATAATATTCTTTGCAGGTATATAGCCGACGCACATGTAAGCAATAGGCAATGCCTTTGTTGCACAGTATACCAGTAGAAAAGGTTTTTGTTGTTGTGGCTGTTATTTTGGTCCCCATAAAGGACTTAAGTGTTGCGGGCAACTGTTTTGCCGCATTCAGGGTGCTGTGCAGCAAAATAACGTGGTGAAAAATTTTAACATCGGTTAAATCCCGAGAGAAATATTGTTATGCGGTTTATAAGTAAACATGAACGTAGTAAAATATTTTATACTTCAATACAACTAATTAGCGCTATTTTTACAATTCGAAGTGATCTTAAAAATATTTGTGATGAAATATGTTCTTTATGAGTTATATGAAAACTATGTTATATTCAAAAATATATTCCGATTTACTTCAAATAACTGGTGTAAAATGTTATTTATATGGATCAAATTTTAATAATAATGGCCCGTAGTCATAGTCAAAATAAAGTCGACTTTAAAGTTAGTTGCAGCTTTTTTGACAGATATCCCATTGAAAATTATGTCAAAAAGCTGCAACTAACTTTAAAGTCGACTTTATTTTGACTATGATTACGGGCCAATATTTATCACCTTCATCTACATTGCTTTTAATGAATGTTTTCACGAGTAGTTGCAGTTTTCTTCAATCTCTAGCAGACTATACCCGTTAAAACTAAATAATTTCACAATTTGTACCCAATTATAGGTTTATATTTTAATAAAATGGGATCAATTACTGAAGAATATATAAACTACGATCAAATTATAGTACTGCATGCTTGAGAAACAATTATTTAAATCAAATGATCAATAGTGAACGCAGTAGGAGCGTATTTTGGAGCACGGAGCGAACTATGCATATTAAGACTAAACAATTTCTCATAAGCTTATGTTTTAATATAATATGATTAATTACTGAAGAATATATTAACTCCGATCAAACTATAGCATTCATTGTTTGACAAACTATTTAAATCAAATGATCAATAGTGAACGCGCTCGGGGCGAACTTTGGAATAATAATAATAATAGATTGGCGCTTTCACATATGTTCGTGTTTGGCCGAGCATCTCGAATTTTGGAATACTTCATAAAATATTTACAGAGGATGTATA